AAAGGGGGAGCTGAAGTCATGCCCCTTCTCCCCCCAGGACTCCCACAACCAGGGCACTTATTCTTGGCGCTGGAATTCGCATAGTAATTACTCCTCTTTAATCTGCTGGGTGACCTCATGCAGCCCCAGCGGCTGCAGGAAACTGGTAGGCCTTGCCAGAGCTGGGCCTCGTCTACAAGACCCTCTTGGAAAGAGCCTTTGCCAAGTGTTAACCCCATGCAGCCCGGTTTCTGAGCGGTGTCAGGCCGCCCACACCCACTTCGGGGGAAGGAGTATGGAAAGGTGCTGGTCACACTCAGGATATCGGCTCCAGTCCTGTCGCTTCTCGGAAACAGCAAATCGTTTTATAAAAGCACAGGTGCGGTTCCAGCGAGAGCCCACCAAGGCAGACCGAAGAGGCAGGGCTTGATTCGCGAGGAAGCCGGCCAGACACACAAGGCTGCGTTCCCTCTCGCGCCTGCTGAGGGCAGCCGCCTGGAGAGCAGGCCTCCGTCCACAGCCTGGCCACCAAAATGGGCTGCCTAGGCCCTGTCTAGTTTGGAAAAAAATATATATATATAGTCACTCCAGTTTCCTTTATAATAAACATTTCTTCTGAAAGGACAATCCTCCAGCTCTGCCCTAGTTAATCCCCTCCACCCCAAGACATACACTTTTAAACCACTCCCAGAAAACAGACTCTTTATTAAAATGACTGTACGTCTTGTGTCTAAAGAAGCTACAAGAAATTGGAATCTTTGGCCTGAGAGGGAGGTAGGTGTCAAGGGGGATGGGGATAGGAAATAAGATTAAAATGTATAAAAGTAAGTGTGGGGTGGGGTAGGAGGGCAGTTCCTGAGGCTTAGAATGACAGTCAACATGAAAGTAGCTTTCTCGGGTTTAAGAGGGGCTTACAAAAGTAAAGGTAATTGGAGGAAGTGGTAGGGGCCAATCTCCAGTCTTTGGAGGTCACATGATGGGTGGGCAACTACCCGTCAGATCCGTGGTCTTCATGTCTGAGACTCCACATGGAATGCCACCCTCGCTCTCCTGAAAGGGCAATTTTGTGACCAAGAGCGGCAGGTTCATAAAGAACCCCTTCTCACTGGCTGAGAACCCGCCCCTCCAGCCTGGCACAGGCAGAAAGGGTCCGTGCTATGTTGCCCAGCCCTGGTTGCTGGTTGCCGGGAAGATGGAACCACGGAGAGAAGCTGGCGGGCCTAGGTCTCCTGCTGCCGGAACACGGAGTGTCCCCTCCGTGGGTCTGAGGGTGGCGTGCTGTGCCTCCTCCGGAATGGAGTGCTGTCTGGGAGGCTGGCACACTGACTGAGCTATTACCGTTCACTCACATTCAGGACAGTAATTTCATCAAACTTTGATGGGGGTAAAAAGGTGGCAAAAACCAAATGGGGAGCAATAAACAGGGAGAGCAACCCAGAAGGTGAACTGAGCTACACGGCTTTGCCTAGAGCAATTTCCCCATTAAAAAAAAAAAAAAAAGCAAGCTAGTTTTATCTAGGGAAAGGTATGCGAGGTACGCAGAGGAAAATTCCAGAGCTGCACACCACCGGCTAGTCGCTCACAGCTAAAGAGCAGGAGGAAGGGGAGCCGCTGTGGAGGTTTCTGTTATTGTTGTTCATTTTTTATTTTTTTTTTAACCTGGAAGGAGTGGCTTCAGATTCAGCCGAAGAGAATCAATTACTATGTTACAGAGAGGGACCTCGCGTTTATAAAAAACAGTTAAAATCAGACTTGCAGGACGATCTGTTTTGAGTTACTGTGAGGGGGGGGAAAATGTGGGAGGGGAGAGGGCTAGGATAACAAGGAAAAGGTAGAAAAGGTAGAAAAAGGGAAACAAAACTCCCCCCTCTGATGGCCGGAATTAAAGAGAGAGCAATAGTGGGGAGTGAGATTCCTAAATCGCCAGCTCCGTGGACCTGCTCCAAGGTCTTATCACATGGAACCTGGAATTCATAGGGGGCGGGGGTTGATGCTGCCTGGGTGGGCGGGGGGGGGGGGCGCGCGGAGATGTGCCAGCAGGAGAGGTGGAGACACCCCTACACAGCCCGCTCCCCAGCCTCACACCCCCTCCATTCACAGGGAGCCACCGGTAGCCTAGCAACCAGGCCTTCCCACTGCTGCACTGCAGAGTGCGGGCAGAGTGCGGGCAGTGCCAGCAGGGCCCAGAGTGCAACGGGACAGAAACGGAATTTGAATTCATTCTCTACCCAGCATTCTCCTGCCATAGCCGGCAGCCCCGTCATCCTACTCGCCACACTTCTGCTGTGTCAATGCCTCCTCTCCCCCGACCCAAGGAGGCAAGGCGGCCCCCATTGCTCTCCTACGTCTGGGCACCGGGAAAACCATGTGAAGTCAGTTAGCAAGTCTCCAGTGGGAAGAGGAGAGGCATCTGAAGGCGCAGAGAGAACCTGGGGCCGGGGCTCTGACCGTTTGAGCATTGCTGCCTGTCCGCTACACCTGAGTGCTTCCACGCACACCGTTCCGAGGTCACAAGAGTCCCTAACATGTTGGCATCTTGACTCTTGTCCATTAGGCTGATAAACCTGACCGTGCCCAGTGGCTCCCACAGGGTGTTACGTGTTTTTCCTAGAATCCCACTTCTCTCCAGGCCCGAGAGGCAGGGCGTGCACAGGCGGGTGTAGGGGACAAGCAGCTCCCAGTCAGGAAGGCCCCCTGGATCCCACCTGTCACAGCTCCCCCACCTCCTCCATCATCTTCGGCCCCTCCAGTCTCTGGGCACCAGCTAGCACGACCGCTCGGCGAGGCTCAAGGGGGCACTGCGCCTGGGAAAGGGTCGGGTGGGCTGAGGGCCCAAGGAGACCGACACAGGGAGCCACTCGGACCTGGAGCGTCCTCTCAGAGCTTCGGTGCCCACAGAAGCCAGCGGGAATATGCTACGTCCACCCAACGAATAAACCTCAAGCCATCCTCCAAACCAAGGGCAAAGTCATAAAGCAATAACCTGTGATTGTCCAGGAGGGACGGAGAGACCTCATTAATGCAACCAGATTCAGACATGGTGAGGATCGAAGAGCAACCTTCAGAACACCTCAGCGAGTCCTTGAAAAGGAGAGCCCCCTGGAGCCACCAAGAGCCATCCCCTCGTGTCTCAGGCTGGGGAGGCAGGAGGAAGCTACCGGCAGCCCCAGTGCCTCCTCAGTCAATTAAACTCGGGTCACCAAGACCGACATTCACGGGTCGGATGCAAGAGCTTAGATAACACTAAAACAGGTCACACCGAAAGTCTACGTTTCGCTTTAGAATCCATCACTGGATTATCTTAAAAGGTTGGGACTTTTGTAAAAGAAAAGGCTGAGTTATCAGAGTAAGGGGAGGGGGGAAGCTTGCTGAGCACGGCCTGCGTGAGCCTGCGGTGGAGACGGCCCATTTCTGAAACACGGCGGGGGGGGGAGTCGTAAGGGCTGCTGCGATGCCCATGCTGCATAATGTGGGGCAATTTGGGCGGCGGCCAAGTCAAATCTCAGCCTGTGAGCAGGGTCCCCTCGCGCTTAGCAGAGCACAACCTGCAGGAGAGCATGAGGGAGGCATCCGGGAGGGAGGGAGACCCCCCTCTGACAGAGCTCCGGCCGGATTCCGACTGGTGGCCCTGCGGGTTCAGGATCACACATTTGCTTCTGGGACATTAGTTCAGACACAGCCCCGTCCCAGCACACTTCATGGTGACTGCCTCAGTGACCAACTGGTTCTATTACAGTTCCCCCCCACACACTCCGTACTGTCCATCCTCTGGTCCAAGGAACAACATGCCAATACCCAGGGGCAGGCACGGGCCCACGGAAAAGCAGCAGGCGGAGAACTCCCACATGGGATGCTGCTGCTCTTGGAACAATGAGGGTGGCTGTGGCTGCTCAGAGACAAGCTCCTTCGATCCTAACTCCTGCCATGGTTTCTCCTAAAAATTAATCTCTCTCCTTGTGCTCTCTGTGCTAGGTTTCCACAAGCTTCCTTAGGTTCTCTCTTCCATAAGCTTCTATTTTGCTTAACACAGATGAAATGGGGTTCCGTGCCTCATAACCAACCATTTCCCACAGCTGCTAATTTCTTTTAAGAAACTGTTTTCCTCCTTCACATTATAATTAAAAAATATTATAAGAAAAAAAATTAATCGTGATGTCATAAATAAAGAAACTAGGTGTGACAAACCGGGGTTCTCTTTTCTGTAGTAGGTACCAGATTTAATTACAGCTTTCAAAAATAAAACAAAGCAAACACACACACCCGAAAAATGGGATGGAGGGCAGAGGGAAGAAGTGAAAAGACCCCTTTCTTTCTGCTCAGAAGGAAAACATTGTTTAGAAACATCTCCTGTTTGTCAGCACTGAGTGTCGGCCCTGCGGGAAGGGAGGTGTGAGCACAGCTCACAGTGCCAGACTCGCCGCTGACAGGGATGGCGGTAGAGAAGCTTAGGACGGTGCAGAAAACCTCAGGCACCGTCAGTCCTCGCCGAGGACAAACACGGTTCACAATTCCTCACCCGCCATCTCAAACCCAAAATTCTCTGAAAATTGGGACTTTAAAAATAATTCATTTGGCTGCCAAACAAACCTGACCTCACTTGGTGGCAAAACATGACCTGAACTACATAAAATCTTTTGTGGCCTATTTATCCCATTTAGGGTGAAATCCTTCCATTTCATCACTGCTGAAGTAATGAGTTTGATGAAGGGGAGCTGACCCTAGGGCTCTTTGGGGTGGTGAATGAATATATATATATATTACATTTCTTTAAAAATTCTGAATTTTAAAACACACCTGGCCCTAAGAGTTTCAGATAAGAAAAGAATGTAGTTGCTACTGGGATGAGGTAAGACCCCTACAAAGTTTACTAAAGATCGAATACAGTTGATTATCTCCTCGTTGTTTCCATCTCATCAGCTTCCTACACAAGCCAGACAGTGGTGCTACTTGGCAACCCTGTGTTAAACATGGGAAATCCACTGCACAGGGCCCTGACTATACGTTAAATCCCGGTTTCCTACCTTCACATACTCCAGAGTTGGGTCCAGAAGTTGCTGATCCCTGAAAAGAGAAAACAAAAATATGAGGACCATTGGGAACCATGCATTCCTGCACTGAGTGAAATGTGCCCACAAGATCTCACCCTGCTCATCCAAATGACAGCGATGGGCCCACCTCCCAGACAATGCTCAGGCAGTCAGAGCAGACACCGATTCCTGCCATGGTGTGTGTTGGGTGGGTGGGGGCACCACCATGACCTCCGTCTGGCAGCTCTGTGTATTCTGTCACATTCAGTCCAAACGTTGGACTCCTTCCATGTGGTGATTCTAGGTTCACTGGAGCATAATAATTAGCCTTCAAGCCTGAAGCAAAGAGCTTGGAGGAGGACGGGGTGGGAGTGCAGCAGGGCTGGATGCTCAGGCGGCAGCAGCCTGAGCCGGCAGCTGTGTCACATCCACCTGACAGAAGAGGCTCCGGTAGGCAAGGCGGCTGCCCAAGGTCACCCAGCACCCAGCAATGAGAGAGAAAGGGACTTGTGCCAGTTCTGCTTCTAAACCATATTCATCCTCTCTCTCTCTCTCTCTCTCTCTCTCTCTGTCTCTCCTCTCCTCCCTCCCTCTCCTTCTTTCTCTTTTTTACGGGTGACTTGATTGGTCACCCACTCCTGGTGTCAAGCTGAGCAATTCTGAGCAATTCACCCTAATTTTCTTTGTTGCTCAATTATTTGTTTTCCTTTCCCACCTAATGTCTGCTTGTGTTTATCATAATAAAACTCTAGGGCTGACTAGACAATTAAAGTAAACAGCAGTGATGGCACTGAGGATGATCTTATCATAGAAAGCGGAAGAGAATCTGACTCAAGCCAAGGGAGGGTTATGGCAAGGAGTCCCTCCGCCAGGCTGTGCAGAGACAGCTGCTCCGGAGACCCAAACTTCGAAACAACTCAGCCCTGCACAGTGCGATCATTTGGAAAGGACACGATGGCTCTGAAGCCTGTACCACAAATCTTGTTAAGGAGGAGACTTCGCATTTCTACATCAAGAACGCGTGCACCCGAAGGCAGGGGACACCTGACAAGCAGCCATCTGCAGGTCTGGCTGCATCCGGGGCTTCGAAGAGACTCCGGGAGCCGGCAGGTCTGCTCCCTAGAATAGCAGAGCAAAGCCACAGCTCAGACACACAGCCCGTTTGGGGGCTGGAGGCCATTCTTGGCCTGGCTTGACTATCCGGGTTAGGGCCGCTCACAGGGCACATGGCAGAGGCAGGCTGGCACCGAGATGCTCTCTGTGGGCAGACAGCTTAGGTTCTGAAATGAGGCCCTTTGTGGAACCAAAGGACCAGAGAAGAGCTTAAGCTCACAGGTCCGGGTGCATTCCCATCAGAGGAGTATAAAGCATTTCCGGGGCCAGGCACTCACTGTGCCTGCAAGCTGGCGTTTTCCCCAAAGCTGCTGAGTCTGCCTGCTGGGCCCGGCCCCCACCTCTCTGGCCATCCTCTGGACATCCTGCAGATGTAAAAACCTCTGTGGAACCCCCCCCCCCCCCCAGCTAATGACTGAAAACTTTGCTGGCAGAACCTGGGCCATGGTGCTCCCCTCTATGTTCCTGAACCCCTGGATTTCTACTGAAGTAACTTTTAGGCTAATAGGCATTCAGCCGTATGCTAATTACCTGGGCCCAGTGGCCAGGCTCATGCATGCAGAAAGATGTCAGAACCACTGCAATGCTATTTCTCATCTTCTTCAAGTTTCTATTAATACATATATGTGTCCTGATCATGGATAAAAAGTACAGGATGTGTGCTGTTTAAGTCAACGGTTCTCAATGATTTTGGTCTCAGGATCTCTCTATGCACCAAGTTATTGAGGATCCCAAAGAGCTTCTGTACACATGGATTATACCTATTGATTACTGGTCACAGAAATGAAAACTGAGAAATTTTCAAATTTTTAATCAACTAACATTTTAAAAGTAAACCCATTCTATGTTTAAATAAGTAGCATTTTTATTAATAATGCATATGTTTTTCCTAACAGAAATTCAGTGATGAGAATAGTGACATTGTCTCACATTTTTTGCAAATCGTTTTACTGTCTTGCTTAGCAGATGCCAGATGAACTGGAGAAGGGAGGGGAGGCAGGGAGCGCATGGTGGAGGAGATAAATGTTCCAAAGTTCTCGTTTTCACTTGAAGCTTGAATTTTTTCATTGGCAGCTAACACTGTCAAATATTTTTTTTGAGCTTCATTTCACTCATTTTGGGGGGAATATCTGCCAAACAGCAAGACCATACAGTCATGATTTGCAATTCTAACTTTCTTCTTTAGATCTCAAATGTCCTTCTCTTGGGAAATTCTTTTTAGAATTGTGTCCAGGACCTGCTCTTCTCACAGATTTAGCTGGACACTCCTTCTGCCTTCACATCTAAAAGCTGAAACATTCCTCTCTCCCTTTCTCTAGAGATGCACCTGAAAACTCTCTCAGTTCCCTCAGGGGAACCCCTCAAACTCTCCTGGGAAGGGAGTGGGATAACCCACTTGGAGCAGGTGCTGTGCCGGGGGGCTCCTGAGGATCTGCAGGGGCCCCACTCAGAGACCTCAAAGCAGGCCTGTGCCCTTCCCACCACCCTACTCTCCCGCCCACAGGCCCTGTACCCGAGAGCCTGGGTGTTCTCCCAAATGTCCCTCCCCCCTTGGATGGACTCCCGGGTTCCTGTTTGATCCCCCATCACACACTCTCTTGGCAGAAGAGAAGGAAACCAAAGGCGCTGGTCAAGGGTAAACTGAAGTCCCCTTTTGACCCTGCCCCCAAATGAACTCCTTTAAGGGAGCCCTGTTCCGAGAGCAGAGGGGAAGCCAGTGTTCTCAAGTTCTAGTGAGGCTCCCAGGGTCCTAAGTGGGTCCTTTTCAGAGACCCAGGGGAGGGAATGTAAGGAGCGTAAACAGAACCCAGTGGGTGTGTTACAAATCCAAAAGCTTTAAAAATAATTGCCTCGAACCAAACTAAAATGATATTTAAATGCAGAGTGCTGTGTCTCCTTCCTCAGCCTGCCCCGGTCCCAGCTAACCAGGAAGACATGAGCCAGAAAACATAGCCATTGGCCCTGTAGCCCCAGACACCAATTTTAAATGGGATAGCCAATTATTCATGCAGGACTGTGCAGCAAACACTCCTCCAACCACAGATTTATATTCTCCAACAGAGATCACTGGAAAACAAACAGAGGAACTTGGCAATATAAATAAAAAGTTTTTTGGTGTTTTTTTTAACATCGTGTTTTCTTAAATGAATCCCCACCCATGTGGATCCATGATGCTGTGTGCCTCTCTCTTTATAACTGCAATCTGGCAGGCGTCCCTAGCACCCCCCGCCCCTCAGGCAGGCCTGCGGCCCCTCACTGCCCAGTCCACAAACCGCAGGGAAGCAGCAGGGTGAAACCGGACTCGCCTGTTATTTTGTCTTAAGTGTATTGAGTTTTAAGTAGCATCACTGTGTTTATTCCAGTAAAGTCACTCTTTCCACTACCCCACTTCCTTAAGTGCATACGAGGGATGTCTAGTTGGGATATATTTATTATTTCAGCTTGTTTCTCATCTGTAACCAGGTTAATAATTTTCTCCCTCTTAAAAGGACGCTTGACCTGTAAGTGTTTGCTGCTTTGAGAGAAGTGGTTCTCTATCTTGAATACACAAGCAGAACTTCCCTAGCAGGGATCGTTCCCAAGTGGTTGGAATACAGACAGGGAAAGAAGTACCCTATGTCTGTCTTAAGTTACACAAAGTTTTAAATGAATGAATGCTTAGTTCTTTAAATAGACTAAAGTAATGGCTAACAAAGTTGCCAAACAAATGTCCTTTTAGATATACATAAAAAGGAATCGCTGGTAATAAAATGATTCCTTCACGTAATGGGGGGGAAATGTGAGAAACTAGATGCAACCCTGTAGGCCGAGGAGGACAGATGCTCCCGCTAAAATCCACACACGCGAGGAATTCACAGAGTTGGCACCTGTGGCATCGTGTTTGCATCCCAGGTCACTGCGTAGTATTTGTTTACACACGGTCTCTCCCTCTACCAGGTGAGCTCCCCAAAGGTACTGACCTGCCTACTTCATGCCTAGCATCTTCCATACTTCTCACATGCATCCCGCCAACATCACCGAGCACCTATAACATGCCACGCACCAGGCCAGACCCTGGAAGCACAGGGATCCAAGACAAAGGCCCTGTCCTCAGACAGATCTCAGGCAAGTGGGGAAGACAGAGCCAAAGACCAAACAACCCAAGTAAGAGAGAGGGTGTCAGTGAGAGACAAACCAGGAAGAAGCCTATCTGCAACATCTGCGCCAAGCTTTAGGGCCGCGCAGGGCTTGTCAGGGAAGAAGCTGTGGGGGAGGTGGTGGTGAGAAATGCCTGGGCAATAAGAGACGCATGTGCAAACACATGGGGCCAGGAGACAATACGGTGCATGGTGCATTTGGGGAACTGTAAGTGATCAGGAGTCGGTGCCACCTTAGTCCAGGCCACCGTCACCTGTCACCTGAACCCTGCAAGACCCTCCCAGCTCCACTGCAGCTCCGCCATCTCCACACAGCAGCCAGAGTGACCTTACTCAGACCAGGTCTCCCCTGCGCCCACACCCCCCACTCAGAATCCTCTAATGGCTCCCATCCACTCAGAACAAAACCCCAAAGTTCTCACAGCAGCTGTCGAGGCTCCAGTTGGCATGAGCCCAGCCAGCTCTCCAACCTCACTGTGAGAAGTAGATTTCTGAAGATGCCTCCTCCCAAGATTCCCATCAGTCAATCAAGCACTAAGAATGCTATGAGGGGATTTCACAGATGTAATAAAGTCCCAAATCAGTGGACATTAGATATGACAATTACCTGAGTGGACCTGACTTGAAGAGTGAGAGGGATCGGACATAAGGAACCTGTTGTTGGTGTGACGTGATGAGAGAGCCTGTAAAAGGCCCGTGGCATGGAATGTGGAGTGGCCCCTGGCAGACAGCCAGGAAATGGGGACCTCAGTCCTGCAACCTTAGAAACTGAATTATGCCGACA